ATAAATTAGCATATGCATATTACAAATAAATAGCAGGCAATTTGGTAGACTGATATATTTCTAATTATAGAATTATATGTATTAAATAAAACTATCACGAGTGACAGTATTGATATAGATACATTTGTTTATGATAATTAAATTATAATAAATTTCATATATACTATCGTATATAATTATTTTTAATATTTCTAACTCACTCTTTTTTGTTTTTTTTCGCGCAATTTTTCCGATATATAACGTTTGTTCAAATATCATACGCACGCAATGCGCACTTAAGATTAATAGGAATGGGTTTAATAAATATACAAAATTGTATTAACTATTATATTTATAACAAAAGTGTACTTTGACCGTTTGGAATTTGATAACAAAAATAATGTATGGGTATTTGAACATAAATTGTAATACAAAAGAAATTATATATATATATTTATATATATGTATATATATTTCATATATATATGTGTATATATATGAAAAGAATTAAGATATAATATAAATAGAACTAAATCTATGTTCCTTCATCGAGACAATTTAACATTATGTTTAACATAAAATGTAATTGTGACGAAATTACTTAAATCATAATAAGGAATAATTTCTTCAAAGATAAAATTATTAACAATATTCTATAGAACGGAATCGTACTAACATTGTAATAATCACTTAGAAAATAATTATGTCTTCATTATATCACACACAAGATATTTAATCCACAACACTATTGTCTGTTTTTTTTCTTTTCTTTTATATTACTGATGAGAGAGAAACATACTTTTTTTATAGTGCATAATAAACACTTATAGGAAACATATTTCACACTAAATCATGCACACTATTATTAGAAACTGATAGAAAAATACCCGAATAAAATTTCGGCTATGGCAAAAATTGCTGCAGTATATTGCGCATGATAGAATTATAAAGAACACTTTTCCATGTAAAAGGGACTAGTGCGATAAATCGTTGAAGTCTGATCTACAGGCAGCCATCTTATCTGGCAAAACATTAAAGTATTAGATATTGTATCTACAGTAATGCACACATATAAAATTGTATGCTAATATATGTGCATATATATATATATATATATATATATATATATATATATATATATATATATATGTGTGTAAGTATATATATATATGTACGTATATATATATATATGTATGTATAAAGATAGGATTTGCAAAAAATCTTAAATACTTAATTATCGATCTAGTAAGAAGCAATTTTACTTTTATTTTGTAAATTAGATAGAATTTTGGTTTAGAAGATAGTTAAAAGGTGGCTTAAGACACTTTAATAGTACGAAAGTAATACACAAAATAGTAATAATGATCAAAAAATAGTAATTAATGAATGTTAATAAAAAATGGGTTATATACATTCATATTTGAAAAGTATGTAAGATATTAAATGCAACAACCTATGAAAGTCTTACAATATGTAAGAAATATCAATATATTTATATTATGAAATAACTGAACCACACCAAGAGGATAGGAATTGCTTTTCCCATAGTTATACTATATGATGCAGTCATTCATGCTTCATTAATCAGAAAAAGTGTCAAGCGCAATGCAAAGCACCTCTGACAATAAAAATATTACTACAATTACTCCGTATTTTTCTCCATTAATTCGTATAATATTACATTTCGCGATTATATTTATTATTTAGTATTTCTACTGTCAGAATAATACTAAAACTAAGGCATATAAATATAATATAAATTAATTTTCAACTACTTACCTCGACTTTGATTATATCCAGCCTGCCAACCTGCATAATATGCTGCTTTCTGTTTTCCATGTTCTTCCGCGATCTTTACACTGAGTCTTTCTGAACCACCTTCTGGAATTGTACCATGAAGCTGTGCAATTGCTTCTTGTGCTTCTTCACGTTTGTCAAATCTTTGAAAACAGAATCATATCATCAATAAAAATCATTTTATTTGCTTAAATTCAATTAAATTTCCAGTGGAATTTACAAATATCTTTAAAATCTTCTATGTAAATAACTTTCATAAAAAATATATTAGCTAATGAACTTCTTAGTAATTTCTCTTATGTAAGGAAATCATTAATGGTATTCTATATTCAGTCTATATTCAGTTAGTGACATACTTTTGATACTATTTTCAACAACAAAGCTATTCTATACAACCTGAATTTTCAGTTATATGTATCTCAACAGTTAACTAGGTCAATCGTAAAGACATAAAATTGAAATTATAGTGGTCAAGCCAAAAATCGTATAAAAATACTTTGGCAGAAAATATCTTATGTATAGTAAATAAATGTGTATTATGTACGAACTTAGGTTGCATAATGATACAATTAGTCTCATTTCAAACAGCTGTTACTCTTGAATAAGATCCAATTTTCTATATTATCAAATTCACATATGCATTATAAAAGTTGACTTATATTGCATAAACAGATTTTTTCCAATAAGTTAAGTCATGGTAGATAGTATATATTAATGTTATAAT